TTGACTTGGATGTTGTTGAGTTTGTAAAGTTGTTCAACATCTTTAAGTAGTTGTTGTAGGCAGTCTTTGTTTTTACAGTCTATATAGTATCATCCATATATGCTAGTGGAGGAATAGTAATTTGTGAGGAATATATATTTAGTATTTCTAAATAAGCCAGCTTATTCAGCTTATTTGTCACATCTCCAGGCTTGCTGCAGCTTGCTGTGGCTTATAAGCCTGCATAACAATATAATTTAATTTAAATTTAAACTAATTTAATTTAAAATTTATCTAAAATGAAATTAAAATTTTATATTAAAAAAATTTTTTTTAATATTTTTTAGCAAAACAAAAAAAATTAATATCTAATTAATATTATAATTAATAATTAAAAATATTATAATTAATAGTTAAAAATATTATAGTTAATAATTAAAATATTATAATTAAAAAATATTATAATTAAAAATAAGGATAATTATTTTTGGTGCAGAAGTGCACCATGTGCAGAGTATCACGAGTGGTTATATAGATCTACAAAATAAGTATATTTATCTATATTATTTTATCTGTTTAATATTATTTTATCTGTTTTACTTTTTTTTTTAGATAATATTGTTTCACTGTACCATCATTCATGTAGTCACATTTTTTCTTGGTATTGTTGTTTTTTGGAGCTATTGTTTCTCTGGTGCCGTGTCTCTTTGGAGTTGTTGTTCATTGGTGTTGTCGCATTTTGGAGCCATCGTTTCTCTGGTGTCAGGTTTCTTTAGAGACATTTCGTTGGTGTTGTCGCATTTTGGAGCTGTCGTTTCTCTGGTGTCATGTCTCTTTGAAGTCATTGTTTTGTTGGTATCGTCGCATTTTTTTTCTGATATTGTTGATTTTTGGAGCCTCGTTTCGCTGATATTATCATATTATTATTATTGGGCTTTTTGTTTTCTTGCTTGTATTAATGTTCTTTTCTTTTTGGTGAATTTTGCTTGTCATTGTCGGGAATTAGGCTTCCAGTTTGGATGGATATAATTCTTGTTTTGTTATTTGGCTTTTTGGTTTCTTGTTTATACTAATGTTTTTTTTTGGTGAATTTTGCTTGTCTTCGTTGAGAATTAAGTTCTGATTTGGGCGGGTATACTTTTGTGTTTATTGTTTGTTTTGGTTTTCTTGGTCTTGGTTATACTGACAATATTCTTTTTTTTCTGATAGGACCAATTTAGATGATATATTGTCAGTGTTTATTGTTTTGGTTTTGTTTTTCTGTTATACTAACATCTTCTTTTTTGATGCTTTTCCTTATGTTGTTTGGAATTGTGCTTAAGAAGTAGTTAGATTTGGTGAGTTGGGTTGGTTTCTTCTGGTAAGTATCTTTCTGTTGTGTTATATTTCTTTGCCAATACTTTACTTACTTAATCTTTCTATTCATTAAAACCACAACCAATTCAGTACATTGAATGGCCAAAACAATCATATGAAGTATATACTACTTACAGCTTTTTTTACAATTTCTCGAATGATTTTCGGCTAATCCATTAATGTATTATTTTGGCATAATAATAATAGATTCAATAACTGATAAAAATTGGTACATATACACATTGTGATGGTGAAATGTGACCTAGTCAAAGTTAAGAAAACATGATTCAAGCCACATGATTCGGGATCCGAAATGCAGATTGATTGACAAAGCGAAGGCATTTAATAATACTAATTCATGTTTGGCTTAAAGCGATGCTTTATTGAGAACAGTAGTAAGGCATCAATAGTATTTACATGGTGAAAACTAAAGTTATTGTCATATAAATGAGTATGAATTGTTTATCATTAGCCATAGATCCCCAATACTCTAAATAGCTATATTACTTATAATGATCTTAATTGTAATAGAAGCCTCAATGTTGTTCATAATGTATAGTAAAGGGAGCAGATAGGTAATAGGTAAATAAGAATCATAATTAAATAAAGACTGTCTAACTCAGAGATTCTAGTAGCAGTAGGATCCTTGGTTCTTGAACCAAATCTTCTATGCCCTTTTTTGAGTAGTCTTTATTTTTAGTTGTTTTTTGACAGTGAAACATATTTTTTAGATGTAGTACCATTTTCACTGTCAATTTTTTATTAAATCTATGCCGAAATAATAAATTAACCGAATTGGCCGAAAGTTATTGGAGAACCCAGGTTTGTACTTATGATCATGTGATCACATTTCATTGTTGTATTTTGTGTAACCACATGTATGTATATGTGATCCCACATAAAGTGCGGGGTGCACCAAAAATAAACATTCTAAAAATAATTATAATATAATTAATTGCTAAAAATATTATAATTAATAATTAAAATATTAATTTTTTTTTTTTTGGTATTGAGGTGGGGCCTTGCTCATCTCTTT